TGAGAAATAATTGTCTAAATAACTTTTTATATAGACTTAAGCCTAATGTCTGGGAAGTGTAATCCCTTGAACTCTTAAAGTATACTGATGACTTTACTCTTTGCTTATACTTTCCTTTTGGCTGTTCAAGACCATACAGTTGGCCCATATAAATCAATTTATTTTTACACTTAAGGCCATTTGAGGATCTGCGGGAACTAGCTTTGTAGACCAGGTTGGCCTCGCTCTCAGAGATCAGCCTGCCTCTGACTCTGAGTGCTGTGATTAAAAGTGTGTACCACCAAGTCAGGCTTATCTTAATTTTTGAGATGAGATCTTGATATGTAGGCTCAAAGTCATGATCCTCTTGCCTCAGCCTCTCAAGTGCTGGGGTTCCTGATGTGCAGCACCCCACCTGGCTCTTCCATTGACTCCTGTGGGGTTTAACCCCTCTATCAAGGTCTCTACAAGGTCTGCGTTGATCTCCTCTCCTCTACAAGTTGACATTATCTTGCTGCATGGCTGACTGCATCTACATGAGGATTCCTTGGCACTTGCAGTTGTTAACTGGGACCGTTAAGCTCAGATTTTTCTTTACCATCACTTTCATTAATCCAGAAAAGCGGGTACATATTCAGGAATACTGTCCTGAAGAGTGCTGGTGGGTAAAAATGCACACCAGGAAACTAGTGTGTGTTGCAAGGGTATTTTAAACAAGGATTCCTACATCTTCACACAAGATTTCCCCCACATGGATTGATGTATATAAGCACCACCTTAAATATGATCTGTGCACGTCTCTGTTCAAGGGTTATTTTTAACTAGATTTCCGAAAGGGGGGGGTAGAAGCACAAGCTCTTCTCAACCCCCAATCAGATGAGACCCTCTGACACTTGGAAAGCAAGTTACAAGCGGGACACCTAGCCTCGGAGTTCTGAGGTTGCCGGAAGACGCACTCAAAAGACCAGGCTGGCTCCGGTGCAGCCCGATGTCCGTCCAGGCCCCTTCGGTCCCCGGCAAGCCGGCCGGTCGCGAGAGGCAGCGGTTGCCGATCGCGGACCAGCCGCTCTGACGACAGATGCCCAGTAAGGCCTGCTGGCTCGGTCACCACGCGGAGCCAGCACACCGCCTGAGCCGCAGTTGAAGAAACCGCTCTCAGGCTGGACGGAGGCGGAGCAGATTGTCACGCACGGCCCAGAGAAGAGCCCTAAGATGCCAGGAGCCATCCTGAGACAGCCCCCGGCGCGAGGCACTCTGGTACTTGTAGTTTACTTTCCCGATAGAGCCTTCCTCATTTCGGCCGCCCGCCTTTTAACGTCGCTTTTCTTCATCCTTCCCTCCCGGCACGCCGACTTCCTCGTCACCGCAGGCTTCACGTACAACTACACTACCCAGAAGTCTCCCCTCCGCCTCCCGGCAGGCGCGGTGCCTTCCTCGGACTACACTTCCCAGCAGGCCTCTGGAGACGCGCTTCCCTCGCTCTTTCCCAGGACCACAATTCCCAGAGTCTTGACTTCCCGGCCTTTCTCTCTCTGGTCTCTTTTGTAGCTGGCTGGGCCTTGGCCGGCCAGCAGGCCCTCAGCCACTACGTGGTCCGTCGTGTCAGGTCCCAGGGTTTCCTCCGCGGCCCGGCTTGCTGCCCCCTCCGCTCTCCCGGGGCAGGCCGTCGCGGCTGGCCTGAGCGGTGACCTGGCGGGCCGCGCCTGCGCCCTGCCGCGTTTCCTGCCTGGCTGGTGGCGGCGGCCATTTTGTTCATCCTCCTCCTCCTCCTGCTCCTCCTGGTTGGAGAGCAGTGTCCGGAGCGGGCTGGGGGGAGTGAGCCCGAGAGCCGGGTTCGGTTCCTTCTCCTCTGCCCCCAGCCGGTGCCCGGAGCCCCCCTCCCCTTCCTCCCCACCCCCTCCCCTCCCCAGCCCTGCCCTCCCCCTTGTCCCGGGATCGCTCCGTCGCACCCACCATGATGGAAGACGACGGACAGCCCCGGACTCTGTGAGTACCCGAGACCGGGGGTGCCAGGCGCTGGGCGGCCCGGGCCCCGCGGGATGGTGCGGGAGGGAACAGGAGCCGGCCCACAGCCGAGCGTCCTGGCAGCGCGGCTGGGAAGTGCGATCCTCGCCTGTCCCCTCTGCCTGGGGAAGGAAGCATTCCCTTCCCCCCGAAAGCTGTCCCTCCCGGGGTCCGGGGCTGGGCTGGACCTCCCCTCCCGCCCCTTTCCTCGCACCCGGGTCCTAGGCCGGGCTGGTGCAGGGCTGAGGCTGTCAGGCCCGGGAGGGCTGCGTCCCGAGAGCTTTGGGGGGCCTCGGGCTGGGCGAGGAGCTGCAGGTCCCCATCGGGACAGGGCCTGGCGGGGGTGGGACCACAGCATCCTTGGGTCGTCCACGTCCTCAGCCTCAGTGGCTCCGGGTCCTCCTCCTGAGCCAAGCATTCTTCAGCCCCTGGAGCCCCTTGTGTCTTTCTGCCCCACGTGCCCCACGCTGTCAGAAACGCCCGCCCCAGCGCCCGCTACTTTTGAAGTGCCGAAGAGATGGCTTCTTGCGGCCCAAGCATCCCTTTTCTTGAGTAACGAAGTTTACTTTGAGCGCTTCTTAGCCAAACTGACAGCCAGTTGTTAAAGTCCTTTCTCTCGCTGCAGCTTCCTAATCCGTTTGTGCGTAGAGACCATCCGAGTTCGATAAAAGAGTATCTCCACCCGCTATTTGATGTGTGATTTGGGGGCTGCTTCCCCCCCCCCCCGCAGTCTTGCTATTGCGTGTTACCTGAGGCCCAATGTAATGAATGAATTTCATCTTCCAACCGCTTAATTTGAGTTTCCTTCCTTTCCCAATGCAGAGTGATGACTCAGCGTCTGTATTCCTTTCCAAATAACGTGGTACTCTTCTCCTGCATCTTCATCTGTTGAATCTGAGTGTTTCTAATTCGTTATTTAAATCGAGCATCTTTGGGTTTCCCAGCCCCTCCAGGCCATCTACACCTACCTGGAGTTAAGTTACTGAATCAAATTGTTGCTTTGTTTCTCTTACCTGTCTCTCCTGGTGTTGATACGGTGTTCAGAGTTCACTTGGCCGTGTTAGCTGATGGGGAAGGTACTTTTGGGGAATGGATGAAGGTGGATGGACTCAGGATCTCTGCCTAGCTTCTAAAAGCTAGAAAATACGTTCAGTCAGGAAGGTAGCCATCCATGTTGATACTGGTAGATTTTTCTTTTCTTCCCCCAGCCTTGTTTTACACTCTTCATTCTTCTCTTAACATCTTGTTTGGGGAAGCACAACAAAAGCTTGGGTAGTAAAACTTACCGTGTGTGTGTGTGTGTGTGTGTGTGTGTGTGTGTGTGTCTGTCTGTCTGTCTGTCTGTCTTCCATTTCTGTTTTTGCCCCGGGGGAGGGGGGCGGGATAATTGAGACAAAGCTTGAAATTTGTCCTTTAAGGTTTGTTGAAGCCAAGGTTTGGTATTTAGTAGCAGTGTGTACTTTGGAAGCATTGGAGAAAGCTAGGATTAAGGCCTAGCAAGTAGTGTTTGAGGAACATAACAGTTATGTTGTATCTCAAATACCTGAAATGTCATCATTGCATCATAATAGCTACTGAGTAATTGGTAAATTGTCATGGCTCATTAGCTGTATCTATTTGTTCCTTAGAAGAGGAATCCCTCCATATGTCCTGCTACATAGTATGCTTTTTATTCCTGTAACTATCCTTCCACCCACTATCAGATCTTTGGTAGACAGCTGAGCCCAATTTTATTTCAGACCTTCACCATCTCCCATCTCTTGTCTTCCCTGAAACCAACTTAAGTTGTCTTTAGTTGTCGAAAGCTGTGGTGGGAGTGAAGACACATCTTCCTCTGTTCTACATGTCAGTTCTGTGTTGATGTTCCCTTTCCCACTGTCCTCCTTGAAAGGTGGTGTGTTCGGTTTTAAATACAAGGACTGCTTGCTCCATCTTCCTAGGTCTTACCCTTCCCTCATCTTAGTTGACTGCCTGGAAAGTAAGAGGTACTCAATAAATATTCTACAGTTTTTGTACTTATTTCATTAAATTGGTGGTAACTTCCTTTTTCAAAAGTCCTGATTAAAATTCTAGGCAGACATTGTCATACTTCTTACATTTTGTTGATTTATATGTGTTAAAACTTTCAAATGTAAAGTCTTGACATCAAAGCAAATGTTTATAGGGTTTTGTTTTTTTTATGGAGATCTCATATTTTGCATTATGACCTATGAACCAGGTTTTCAAGTGGCTACTATGTTTAAAACAATGTACTTTTAATAAAGTTTATCTTAACCTGTTTACTTTAAAATGCCTGTGTGTTACTAGTGAGGTTTTCTTCCTGCAGACACACACAAGCTAAGACATATGGTTCTATCTTCAGAAAACAATATGGTGTTTATAGCCTAGGTAGGTCTTTAAATATTCATTATCTACAGTATTACTAATTTATTTGATGGTATTTAAAGTGGTACAGAATTGCCGTGATGTTGAGTCTTAAATCCTATTTGTCATATAGTTGCTTTAAAGGTCTGTTTTCTGATGTTCGTCATTCTCATTTGACATTTATTTGGGGGGTGTTTATGTTATTAGGTAACTTGTGATCTTAAAAACAAAAAAGATCACCCAATGTGACACTGGTGTTTGAAGTGGACCAGGCTCCTGGGACATGTTTCAGGCTTGGGTTGTATCTTTGCAGTGCAGTGATTTGATTCATGGTATCTGAATCTACAGTGTGACCCAAAATTACAAATGCATTCAATTGTAGTTTATTTTATTCATCAATTTGATGTACCAAAACCGTAGGAGTTGTCTAGAATGATAACCATGCTATTCAGTGCCATCCTTTAAGGCTCTTCCTTCTTTGATACTCAATAAAAAGAAGGAAATAAATCATTGATTGAAAATATAGTCTGAACATCTGTGAACAGAGCAGAAGAAAATAGCATAACATCTCACAGAATTTGCCATACCATGGATTTAACTGTATTATGGCTACAATCAAGCTCCTGGTTCAATTTAATCATATTATTTCTTTGAAGTGTGTGGGAGTCAATCCCGGATGAATAGTTGGTCAGTTTAGTTGTGCTACCTGCACCTTTCTTCCACCATGCCTCCTTCCTAGAATCAAGTACTGACAAAGTGACCAATCCTTTAGGGTCTATCGAGGGTTATTGTTGGAAGTTCTCCAGTTTAGTAGTCAAGAACAAGATAAAAACGCTAGTTTTATGGAAATTTAACTCCACGGTATTTTGTTGGTTTTTTTTGTTTTTTTTTGGAAACAGGGTCTCTCTGTAGCCCCACCTAGCCTGGAACTTCTGCTTTGTAGCCCAGACTGGCCCAAACTCAGAGATCCACCTGCCTCTGCCTCCCTAGTGCTGGGATTAAAGGCCTACACCACCACTGTAATTTCAACATTGGTAGGGCTACTCTTCCAGAGCACGTGCACTTTTAGGGTGGAAACTGTCACTAGTTTTCTGCAAGGCATGACGCTCTTAATTTCTGCCCAGCCAGACATAGGGCATAGTGTGGCAGTGTGAACTTCTGCCTGCTGTGAAACTACCAAGTTTTCTAGACTCCCACTTGGATTTAAATTTGGTGTAAGGGATAAAGGTATCATTTTCAGTTTTTAATGCTTTAGTTCCTACAGCTCCTGTTCTTAGAAGACAGAATAGACTGTAAGGTACTTTTCCTTAATTTTTTTTTTTTTCATGTGCTAAAAACCATTTGGGATTTCCTAAGTGTTTTCTATTTTGAATTGACGTCTTACTATAAAAACTCAAGTCATCTGTCTTTTTCTGTTACTTTGTATATGTTCTTCAGGAAGAAATTATAGGTTTAAAAACTTGAACTTGAGAATATATATTGACTACTCAGCTGCAGCAGGAAGTTTAGAAAGTCTGGAAAGAAATAAGGTTAGCAATTCAATTAACCTACCAAAGGTGATGCTCACTAGATTTTGTGTTGAACTTTGTCCTGAATGTCTTTGGCATTTGTTTTAGGATGGATTATCTTATGATACAAGAAGGTACAAGACAGTACAATATTTTTTTTAAGGTTATAAAATGTGCTTCCATTAAGTATTACGATGCATGAAGGCACACGTAGGTGCATGAATTACAGAACTCTGAGCAGAAAAGGCAGTCTGAAATTTGGGTAAATTTAACTGAAATTATAATAGTGAATTGTATTCTTTCCATCTTGGCAAATTAAGGTCCTCTGTGGTGTTACGGAGGCCTTTTAGGTTTTGAGATTTAGCCTGCTGCTTCAGCACGTAAATCTTAGTGGAGGTATTTGAAAAAAGGATACTTAAAACAGGACTTGTAAATATTTCGTGGTATTCTAAACTTAAATATTAACATTTTTATCTTTGACAGTGCTAGAAATGGACATTAATAATATATGTAAATGTGCCTCTAGAAACTTAACAAGTTCTGAATCTGATTGGAAATGGGTTGACTTGGAATAAAAGTTCTGTTAACAAAGACAGCTTTTATTTTGTGACTATTAACAATGGAAAGTAATTAATACCCATGCAGTTTTTCTCAGACATTGTTTGAACAATAATGCAAATTTAAAGCTGTTTACATCATTAAAACTTTGCATTTTTTTAGCCGGGCATGGTGGCTTACGCCTTTAATCCCAGCACTTGGGAGGCAGAGACAGGTGGATCTGAGTTCGAGGTCATCCTGGTCTACATAGTGAATTCCAGGACAGCTGGGGCTACAAAGGAGATCCTGTCTCAAAAAAAGACACACACAAAAAAAACTTTGTATTTTAATATATTAAAATGATGTTGTTTATTTCTGTTACTTCCTAGCTTCACTATCTAAAAATCTGTCCTATTCATTGCTCTCTCTCTCTCTCTCAGAAATGAGCAGACTGGCCCTTTAGGTTAGATGAGCAAAGTAGAGATCATTCATTTTCCTTACAGATAGGTCTCTATTGTACAAAAAGAAGTAACTCCTAGAAACAGGCTCATACACCCTGTGAGTTGAAAGGGGGCAAGCAGTTGTCTTTGACCAGTTCATAATTCTGTAACCTTTTGCTACTGCTGAAAGAAGTCACTGTGTGGCCTATGAGGGTCACCTCCCTTTTAACTCTAAGGAAAAGATGGCACACTAGGCCCAGACAAGTTTGTCAGCTAGTGTGATCTTCTATTTCAGTAGCATTGGACTTGTTGCACTTTAGACATGTGCCCTGAGGTTGTTAGTGACCATTGCAGTGAAATTCTTAACTTACCTGGGGAAATACTACTCATTTTTTTCCTACTCCTTAATTGGATGGTTTTAGGTTTTTCTTAGCTTAGACTTTCTCAGTGCATTTCCTACAGCATGTTTCATTTTAAAGCATCTCTGTATTTAATGTGGCAACTGTGTTGCAAGGCTTAGTTTGATCTCAGTACTTAGTTTCCAGGTGTTGTATGTCATGGTTAAAAAAATAAAACTTAAGTCCTTTTATTTTCCAGGATAAACTATGTCAAATTTTATAAGTAGTGCTTGTTGATTGAGGTGGTCATGAGCAAATGCACATGAACCAGAAAGACTCAGGGCGTGGGGGCAAGAGCAGGTAGACCAGGAGGGCTGCTGCATAGTAAAGACCTATCAATAAGCAAGCAGAGACCCAAAAAGACTTAAAAGGCTGGAAGTTTATTGAGATAAACTAACCCCATAGTATAAGACATAAACCAAGGTGATCATCTCTTGGTAGTAAAGTGTGTCTTGTTTTCTTTCTTTAAAATTTTTAATCAATTGGTAATTAGGGGCAAAACTTTAATCTTTAAAAAGAACTCTTCTTATATTTGCTTTATTTGTTATCTACATAAAGATTGTATCCTGTTGATCCTGATAGATTTTTTTTTTTACTAGAAAATTTTATTATTGTTCTGCTTTCCTTCAGCAAAGCAGTGAAAATGCCTGTCAGTAGCAGCCTTTGCTGGAGACAGAACAGCGCCCTCCACCCCCTTTGCTCTGGCAGCCGTGTGCTCATTCTGCTTCTGGTTCATGTAGGCACTCTGGTTGGGAGTCTAAGACGAACCCACTAACGTCTGCTGCCTAGTATTTCATGACCAGATGTTTGCTAAATCAGTATTTGTCATGTAGAGTGTTATAAATTATTCTGAAATAGGAAATACAGTTATTGTCATAGGACTAGACTTACTTTGGAAAAAAGTTATAATATACACAGGAAGTTAAATGAAGTACAAGGTGACATTAAATAACACATTAGAGCTGGAGCTAAAGAAACATTGCTGATGTATTTTTTTTTTCTTGTTCAGATACGTAGGTAACCTCTCCAGAGATGTGACAGAAGTCCTTATACTTCAGTTATTCAGTCAGATCGGACCCTGTAAAAGCTGTAAAATGATAACAGAGGTAAGATCTTCCCAGTTAGGAATGCTGTCCATTAGCCTGAGGTTGAACATTTTTAGATGATGAAAGAGTTGATTAATGTCATTTTTAAAAATTCATTTTAAGCCTTAAGTTACTCTTTTGGATAGATCAGTATTTGTGCTATTACTGCATTGTAGCTAATCAAGGAGATGTGCCATGAACTTTCATGTGAGAACAGAAAGTCTGCACTGTTTTCCTGGTCATTCTTTGTGATGCTGTTATATTCAGGTTATTCTGCTTGTAAACAGCTTATCTGGGAAAGATGAAAACAATTATATTTCATATATTGCAATAAGACTGTTAATAACCCAGTGTACATTAGATTATTATGTGCACAGTGAAGGAGTGTGTACCTTACATGAATTTAGTAGATACTAATGTCTGAGCAATTTTATATACCTAGGAATTTACATTGTTTTTTTGTGTTTTTTCCCCCCACCCTCCAGGAGTTTACATTGTTACAATTATAATTTTGTTTGGGCTAGGGATGTAGCTCAGTGGTAGTATATGTGCTTGTCATGTACAAAGCCCTGGGTTTAGCCCCCTCGCCCCAGTGCCAAAATAAAATTTGTCCTATATTCAAAGAAAAATTACATCTTTCTCAGTTAAGACTCCAGTTGTGTCTGGTGACTCGTGTCCACTATTCTTTCTTTCTGTTTATTCATCACCTTCTTGTTTTTGACTGCTGTGTACCAGGTACTGTGTATGGTAAGTGCTAAGACTACAGCAGTGAATAAGACAGTTCCCAACCCCATAAGACTTTCCAGCCTAGTGGAGGACAGAAATCATGAGGCACATAGGATATAGACCATAAATGCCAAGAGAGCAGACAGCTACAGTGCTGTGGAAATCTGGGGGGTGGGGGGATCCAGCATGCTCTTAGGTCCTGGGAAACTTCTAGCAGGAGTCAGTGCATAGGCCGAGACCTGAAAGGATTAACAGAAACTGGCTATGATGGAGTTGGAGGAAGAAGGGATTCTGGGTAGAGGGAAGAATGTTGATGAGGTTCCCAAATTCCCAGTGCTTGTAAAAAGAGAAAAGCAGAAACCTGTTTCCTGTTAAAACTGTATTCCGTTGAAGCATAGGTGGGATTTGAGCTGGAATCAGGTTTAAGAGATGCCAGAAAGGTGATGAGGAAGAGTGTTTGGAAGCGGCCAGAAACTGGACTAAGAAGTTGGTGTTCCATCCTGAAATGGAGAACTGTTAAAATCCCAGAAAGAGCATTGACCTTTTAATCTTCTAATTAATGATAATTTCATTATATTCTGGAATATATTTTTCCTTCTTTTCATTCCTAACTTTGAGTATACATTTTTCCTTTCATTAATGAAAAGTGTACTTTCCATAGACACTCTTGAAGGTACTGGGAATATAATGGAAGTCCCAGATAAATAGAGATCAGAGCCATGAAGAGAATGAACAGTTCTGTAATGACAGGTTGGGGGTCGGTGCTGTGTAGGCTAAGGGTAAGGGCAGTTGTCACCTCCCTGAGCCAATGTAGGAGTAACGAAGACTGGAGCAGAGGAAAGCAAATGCAAAAGCCTCAGCTTGGTAAAGAACTTGTGTGGAACCAAAGACCAGGATAACCAGAGCCTGGTGAGTGATGGAGGATAGTGTGGGGAAGGAGTCTAACAAGGCAGGCAGGATTCAGAGTCACATAGGGCAGTATGGACCATGATAGATTAAGTTGTAATGGCAGGTCATTGGAGGGATTTAAGCAGGGTCTAATTTGTATGTTTTATGATTGCTCTCTGTGCAGAATAAGTGTTTTGTGGAGGATCATAGGATAGAGCAGGAGGCAAAAGCTACCTGGGTTTACTCTGCTAGTCTGCGTAAGAGATGATGGGTTTTTGTGCTTTAGAGTGGTGGGGACAAAATGAAGTAGGTGAGTTTCAGGTGTGTTTGGGAGGTAGAATCAGTAGGATTAGATTGGCTGTAGGGTGTACAGGAAAGGAAGGAATGAAGAGTCTTGTTAGTGCAATTGTGTGGGTGTTACATGCTTTACTAAAATGGGAATGACTGAGAAAGGTACAGGACAGATGGGGGAGAGTACAGCAGTCAAGAATTCATTTTAGCAGTGTTAAATTTAAGGTGTACATTGGCTTTACAAACGGACATTGTGTTTGTAGGCAATTGAATAAACTAGTTTGGGTTCTGGAGAAACCAGTGATGAAGCTTGCAGCAGTATTTGGAGCCATGAGACTAGGTAAGGTCACTGAGGGAGAGTGATGGTAGAGGAGTAGGGGGCCAAGAGCCTGGAACAGCATAGCATTCATTGAGTGTGCCCGTCTGAGTTGGAGTTAAGGAGGAAGAACTGCCTTCTGAAATAGCCTCCAGTGAGGAAACAAGCCAAGGTCTCCTTGTTTCCTTTAATTAGTTTCCTTCCTTAATGAAAGGATGGAACAAGAGAAAAGAACATTTAAAGGCGGAAGGATGATAGTCAGCAATTTTCAATTGTGGAAGAATAGAAGAAGGATCCTAGTGAGGAGGTAGGTCATGGGTGAGTTTATGCGATTTCAGGGCAGGGCTATGCTGAACGCTGATAGGAATGGATTAGAGAGCTCAGGATTCGAGAAAGTGCCAGAGCCTCTGACATTTTTGAGGGACATTTAGTAAATGTTTATTTTATTTTTTAAAATATTTTATTTATTATTTTTATTTTATGTGTATGAGTGTATTGTCTGCATGGCATATAAAAACACCTGTGTCCTGAAATGCCCATGGAGGTCAGAAGAGGGTATCAGATACCCTGGAACTGGAGTTACAGATGACTGTTAGCTGTCATGTGGGAGTTGGGAACTCAGAAGAGGCTTTGGATTCCCCTGAACTGGAGTTAAGGATGGTTCGTAGCCACCATGTGGGTGCTGGGAATTGAACCCGGGTCCTCTGCAAGAGCAGTCAGTGCTCTTAACCGCTGAGCCATCTCCCCAGTCCAGTAAATGTTTAATGATTTATTTAAACCTCTGTGTACATACAGACATTTGAGAAATGGAGGGACTCAAAATGACTCTTCACAACTGTTTTAGAATTCCTAGATTTGAACTTCTAAATAGGTATAAAATCTCAAATTTCTGTGTCTTTAACATTTATGTCATCCAACAAAAATTGTTGGCAAGACCAATTAAGGTAGAGAGACTCAGTTGTAGGTGGCCATGTAGATGGAGTGTCTGAAGGCCATGCCCTCTCTTGCAGGGTGTCAGGCAGCTGAACACTTTCCTTTCATGCATTTCATCTTGATACATGAAAACGCCTATTTGTTTTATGGGGTTTCCTTCCCTCCCTCCCTCCCTCCCTCTCTCCCTCCC